TCTTTCCCTTTTTTAATATGCCGCCAAACAACTCAGACAACCTTTTGAAGATGTTCTTAAAGAGATGTGTAATTCTGATAGCAGTACTCCAATTTGTGTTACTTCGGACATGTTCTTACCTTTGACACTTGATTCATGTCGCATGTTCAATACTCCTAGGGTTGTCTGTGGTGGGATGGGTGTATTGCCTCTAGTTATTGCAAGAAGTGTCTCACTACATGTTCCATGCCTGCCTAGCTTGTCTAATTCTGAGCCTATAAATTTAGCTTCAGTTCCATTTTCATTACACAAAAATGACTCCCCTGGCTCAGTTAGTCCCGGTGATGATAACAATCCATGCGGGCAATTCTGGCAGAGCCTTTCCAGGCAAATTATAGCAGCTGGGGTACCTTGTTAAACAGTTTAAGAGGCCTGTTCGGGGCCTTTGAATCTCTACATCAAAGAGAGGCCGAAGCATGGCTTCTGGGTCCACTTCTACTTCTTGGTCACATTAAACAAGGTTTGATGAATTCAGGGCCCCACAATGATCAAAAGCAATCTAGCCCGCACATCAAGTGGCTGGACCATGAAATGGAAGAGGTCGGTCCAGGTAATGCGATCCATGTAGCATTTGGTTCCCAATCATATATGACAGACGTTCAGATGGAGGAGATTGCTCTTGGGTTGGAGAAGGCAGGGCAACCGCTCATTTGGGTGGTCAGGTCAAGTACATGGATCCCACCAGTTGGATGGGAGGAAAGGATCGGGGAAAGAGCGTTTGGTCGTACGTGATTGGGTGGACCAGAGGGGTATACTAGCACACCCAGCAAATGGTGGGTTCTTAACTCAGTGGATGGAATTCAGTGTTGGAGGGCTTGTCAACGGATGGAAGCAGGGCAAGGATTGAAAGCTGGGTATATGGCGAAGGGAATAAGAGCAGGGCTCATGGTCCCTCGAGAACGTGATGCAATCACAATGTGACTTGCGATGCTGTGAAGGTGAGTTGATGCAGAGGAAGAAGGCCAGGGAAAGGACACAAGAGTTTATTGGTAGAAAGTCAAGGCAAGCTGTGGAGAAAGGTGGATCATCTGATGAGGAATTGGATCAACTAATTCAACGCCTCGTTCTAAGACTAGAGAATTCCAGGACTTTATAATTTAGTGCATTGGTCCTTTTCTAAATGGTGCATCACACAGTTTTATAGTCGTAGATTCAGTCCAGACTGGACTCGAATCATTAAATTACTAGGTCAATTTACATTGAATTGAACCTATTTTTTTATTTTTTTATTTCTAAACATGTTGTTTCATTTTTTTATAGATAATTTTGTTTGAAGTTCACCCTGGTCAAATTTAAATCACAAAAAATTATGATTTTATCATCTCAACTTGTCAACTATTAAAAAGTTTCTACAAGTCAAAGTTCATAGAAATAATACCTACTAAGATTAAAACTATAAACAAGATTGACACAATGATCTGTGATTTTGTAATCGTTACCCCTCCATTTCATCGTCATCATTCTTAACCAACCAGAAAGTTACAAACGGCAAGAATACAACTTCCCCACCAAACTCACCGTGTTAAGAAGTATCTGTCAAGCAAACTTCACCTTTCAATAGCTGCTTGCCAGAAGACCTCAACCACCAAGCGATGTGTTTTCATTTGGCAGATGAACAAACATACACAAGACAGGAGCTAGAAACTCTAGGAGAAATTAAAAAGAAAAAAGAAGCTATCCAGTAGATAACAGAGACAAGAGGCAACTGTAAGAACCTTGTACGCTTTATACAGCCATTAGTGCCAAGCGAAAGTTATCAGTCACCATGTCTTTTATTTTACCAATCAAACGGTTGTGTTTGGTGCTGCCAGACTTGCTTAGCTTTGGCTGGAAGAGAGAGCTGAGCATGGCTTCCAAACCTTGCGTAGTGTATTTCACATGTCTGCTGGGACTAGCATCAGTTTCAGCCTGGAATCCATGGTCCTGCAAGTAGCTCCTGTACAGAGGTACATAAGCCTGGACAACAAGTTTACACATCTTCAGCCTTAAGTCTTCGCAGGGAACAACCCAATTGGATTGCTTCTGGTACATGTGATCAAGCTCCTCATTGAATGACTTCAGTCTCTTCTTGAACAAATCCCCCTCAAATCCCCTAGTGGGAGAAGATAAAATTCGACTCTCTTGGCTAAGAGAAGCAAATATTTTTCCCCAGCTTTCTCTCAGGTAAAGAGTCATGTAATAGTCCCTATACTGTTCATGAGCTTTCAACCAAGAATCTCCCATCAAACCTCCAAGATTTGTTCCTTTCAAGCTGCAAAAATGACAATGGTTATTCATCATGAAAAGGTAGGACAGTGTGAGATCATAGTGGGCTTTTGACCATGCATCCAAGTTTAGACCAATCTGCTTTATTATGCAATAAATCTGGTTGGTAACGAGTTCCTCTTGGTACTTCTCTTGTTTCCAACTCTGTTGAATTGTCAGAATCTGAGTCAACAGTGGCCTATAATCATCCCCTAGTAGATGATTACAGTAATCGGTTACAAAGCTTACTAGCCTTGGAACACTACCATCTAAAGGAGGAGAACTTCGCCTTTGCAGCTCCACTTGGATCGGAAGTTCCCAGAAAATCTCACAAGCTCCATTAACAACTCCCTTGAGGAGATCCCTAGTCATAGTCTGGATTTCAATGCATGCTGACCCTCCAAAAAGTCTGTTGAAATCCACTCTCAGATTGTCCAACATCGCAAAAATGTCCAGTAGCTTCATGAGCTTCACTGGATCATTCTTACACTCTGTAATCTTCTTTCCAAAGCGGAGGAAAGAAAGAATTCCAGATTGTGTAACGATTTTTGCGAAGCAATCCATCCAAACTTCTGGTCCATTCTTCTCAAACACATCACTGCAAATCTTATATTCAGTTTCAAAAACTTGTTTCACGGCCAACTGCAAATGCTTGCACCATTGATCAACGTAACACTCAACATCTTGCACATCATCAAATTCGTTGAATGAGTGGTTGAGGTAATCCAAGTCAAGAGCTTGAAAACTTCTCATGGTATTCAGACACCGAACTTCAACGTAAGTCGAAATGCATTTCTCAAGCCTGTTAGCTGCATCTAGCCTCTCAACAATAGCCTGAAGCTTCTGTATAACAGCCACTGGCAGAGGAGATGGGGCAGTGGAGGCTTGATTTCGCATAGAAGATGAAAAAGAATCCAAAACAATACAAACGCAGTTCTCCACAAGAATCTGCTTGAATTCAATTTCAAGTTTGTCAAATGCAGCACAGAGAATCCCCCCACCGAGCCGAGCTTGTCTGTCAGTGGCTTGCAACTCTTGCAGGATGGTCAATGACTTGTTGACGTTCAAGATGTAAAGATCATCGTGAACTGCATTATCTTCCAGAAACTCAAGAATAGCCTCCAGCCACTGAATTGCTAGCCCGCAGTTGTCAGCCAGAAATTTCAATGATTCCTCAAGCTGTTTCACCATTAGCAGGTAAGTTGAAAGATCAGAACACGGGTGATACAATAGTGACTTCTGGAGCTCTTGAATGATATCATACACCTTTAGCACCGCTGAGGCAGGGCCAATGGCACGATCAATATGCTCTCTAATTGCAACAAATTTGCACTTTTGCCTGGGGACATGTTTAACAGCGGCTTCCAGAAATGGTAATCTTTGTTTCATCCCCTCCAATCTTTGGCCTGTACTGTCAAAAGCAGAGGCAAGAGCTCTTGAATTCTCTAAACTGGTCTTTAAGACTATCCTGGAAGCTACAAGATTGTCAATGCCATCCACTTGAGACATTGCCAAATCAAGCCCTAGCCCTCAAATTCCCAGTGAAATGACTCGACTACTATTTCATCTGGTCTTTAAATACTACACTGCAATGTCAAGATTCAACAAATTGTCCAAAAGGATTCTCTCTTAGTTTCTTCTCTGTCACTCATTTTACTTTTCTTCACCAAACTCACCAAATCAGGTAAAAAAAAAAAAAAAACAGAAGACTAGCCATATTCAAACCAAACCTCACTTGCAAAACAAACATCTCTCAGAAACCCCAACAACCACGTAATGCAGAATCAATAGATTAACATTGACTTCCAGAATTCAAGAACAGAAAAATAACCCCACTTGAACTTTAAAAACAGCATCTGAAATTATCACTTTTGGACATCAACCTCAAAATACCAATATGACAGGAACTGAAGTTTCTACTTTCTATCAACAACTAAACAACCAAGCAAAAATATAAAAAACAAACAAAAACTTACCTGTTTAGGATCTCCATTGACGACGTCAAGATATGCAAAGAAGGAATCCGCCATGAGCTCTCTCTTTCGATTCTGATGTTGATGGTGATGATGGTAATGGAAAAAACGGGCCATGGATTCCATTGCTAGTCGATGATTTCTTGCAGAAGATTAAAAGTATTGAGCATATCAAATTTCTTTCTTCTATTGTATTTTGATGCATCAAAAAATCTTGAGAGTTAAGAGAGAGGACATGTGCTCTTTGCTTGTGTTCCAAAAATTATTTGTTTTGATAAATTTTAGGTGGCTTTTTTGCCACAAAAAGGACCAAGAAATCGAGAAAACAAACACCTCAGGTCTTGTGGAGGACTATAAATTCTGCGTTTCAATGCGTTCCAACCCAACCCAACCCAACCCCACCCCCCACAAAAACACACACACCGTATTTTGTTCATCAGAGCTCAACAATCCTGTTTGAACATCCTAGTCTGATCTACTATTAGTCTTTTTTGGGATCATGAAATGGTAAAATTGAAAGAAATCCCATGAAAATATATTAAAAAACCAATAAAAACAACTCAAAAAAAAAAAGACGCAAGGGAAGGTGTAGTGCCACTTGGAACTTTCAAGTTTCCATGTCTCTAGTGCCAAATAGTTGCCATTGCCGCTTGCCAAGCTTACTTGATTTTTTCTACACGGTATACATCACCTTTTCCGTTACAAGTATTTGTTTTCGTGCAACTGCAAGCTTCTTCTCTTGCGTGTGTGTGTGTGTGTTTGTAAAGCTAGTACATAAAAAATTATTTATTTTCCTAGCGGTGCTTTCCAATAAAACCCAACTGTTTCCCAACGGTTAAATATTCTGTGCTTCTTGTAGTTGTCTCACTGTTTTCCTCTGCTATGGCAACTCGAATGATCTTGCTGATCCACCGTTTGACATTAGCAGACAGGAGAGTTTAGAAAAATAATTTGATATGTCCAACGGGAACTTTAGTGTCAGAGGATTTCCCTTTCTTTCTGATGTTCCGACCAATGTCACCTTTGCTCCCCTTTCTGTCTACTGGCAAATTCTCGGATGCTCCCCTTTCCCAGCTTCAAAGAAGAGACTAAGACTGATAGATTGATGAACTTGTGTACTCTGCATTTTGCCCACCCCACGAGGGACTGCTTCTTCAGGAACCCTCCATTTGACAACAAAACAATTCTCAAGGTTTGGATTTAGTAAGGTATGGCTTTCTTGATGTTTAGCTTGTCAATTGTTTTTTAATAATGATGGCCTCAAATGAACCTGAATTGCCTTGTATTTTGCAGTGTGGAGGTGTGCTTGGAGCTTTACATTGACAAGGGGTTGGATGGGACATCAAAGAGACAAGGATAAAGGGCCTCCCTGTGTGCCGCAAGTCAATGTCTGGTTCTAACATTGAATGGGAGCAAAACAAGGAGGGGCTGAAGGGTGCACGGTCCATCTCAGCCAGGCAGAGGAAGAGGGACTTCTAATTGTATCACCAAAATCTGAACCAATTTAAATCACTATCGGGCCATACATGTTTGAGATCTTCAGCTTTGCTCCAGTCAAGAACTAGGCAATCAAATTTGCTCCCACTGGACTGACCAGCATGTTTCACAGTAGAGGCGCAATCCAAGAAGTGGACTATTTTGATTGTGAAACTGATTCCAGCGTGAAGACTGAGATTAAAGATGTATCTCCAAACAAGTGTTTCTTGAATGAAAGGATTTTTGAGTGGGTGGATAATGGCAAAGTGACCCTTGGTTTGAATCTCCCCAGTTCATTTTAGATAAAAAAAAAAATTAAATAAAAAAATCCTTGAAATTAACTCGTTCAAGTCAAGCAGCAAGCAGCGCAGGTCGGTTGATCTACTGGGCCACTAAGGCTAGAGCGGATAAATATCCAAAATAATCTTGAAAGAATTGGAGTAAGGTTCTGGTTTAGCATGCCATTGGGTTCTCCCGCACATAGACATGTTCGATAAAAATGGTTTGCGAGGGCTGGTATGGATAATGCCTCCTCTGTTTAGAATTCACAGAGCCCATGATTCTGCAATGGCATTTCGAGCATCCAGATCTTGACTGTAGAGAGAGATCCGACATTTGCCCACGAAACCATGGGTTATGAGGTGGCTGACCCAATACTGATGGACCCCTGATACCCCTTTCAATCTTGTTTGAATTATAAATGGGCCCCTCTCATCTCATGTGAATTGTCAGAAAATTACTTGTTTAGTGATTGTTTCCTAAAGATTCCTTGTTTGAATTATGAACTCATGCATCAGAAGATCTTTGATGGAGAAGTCTTGTGAATTACTCTTGAAAGTCCATGAAGAGATAGAGTGTCACGTGGAGGTTTTTTTCCTACCTGTCACCCTTCTTTTTCAAGCAAAACGCTATGATTTTCTGAATTTACTTGGTTTTTTTTTTAAATAAAAATGCATGCATGGACCACCCTTTAATTATTACAAAAATAATAATAATAATTTCATCCTAATAACTAACAACTGGAAGGGTAAGAGGGCCAGACCTGACACGACGGGTAGACAAACAAGATTATCTAAAATGTTGTCCTAGCAATTATATATAGAGAAAAAACGACGGTCCATTTTGTGATGCTAGCTTGGCTTCTGTTTTTTTGGGGTTAAAGCATAAGGATGATTCATAGCTAGTGTTAGTTGAGAGAGTTGAAAAGCTCTTGAATAATCTTAGCCACTGTGGAATCGTTGACCAACAACACGTGGAGGAGGTTGAACAGTCGCGTTCTCTCCGCACCTAGATTTACTGCATCTCCTTTCTAATAAAATACTCGCCTCTTAATGTCACGACGACTGCATAGTAACACCATCAACTCTTAATCCACTGATGTATTCTTCTTCTATTTCTTTTTAAATTACTATACTTCACCTAATCCTATAAATTTTAAAATTAATAATTATATAAATTTTTGACAACTTTAAAATTCATGAACTTAAATTTATGTATAATTTTACAAAAAAAAATTAAAAAAACAAGTTAGAGGTTTTTAAAATAAAAAAAAAAACACTTTTTATTTTTATTTTGAAACGATAAGATAGCAAGACTATATTATAAAAATTATATTACCGTTTCCTTTGGTATGCGCACTCTTTCTGGAAAAAATCATAGAATAAAACGGTTATGTATCTAAAAAATCAAATAATAGAGTATATTTAATAAGTATAGTTGACCCAGAAATTTTGTGTGGGTGTGGGTCTTTATCGGATTGAGTCGCTTTTAAATCTCTACTTTCCATGGATCACGCCTGTTTCTGGCGGGTGGCCGTTGCAGATTGAAGGCGATAATTGTTGCATTAATTCTCGGATTTGTTTGTATTCATGCCATGAACCCCTTTTCTTTTGGTTCTTGGTGGAGTAATCCCACGCAACAATATTTATCAAACAAAATTCTTCTTTAATCCATGGCATGTCTTTCCCAGGTTATACTTCAATGACTTGCATTTAATTTTCTCATAGCTATAAAATACAGTTCAATCCGGTAATTCATCCGATCTAGATGAAGGCTTGAGTTTTAAATTATCATTGTTAAGAGAGTTAATATATCTTTTTAATCAGCATCAAAACAATATATTTTAAAACAAAACTTAAATTCTATTAGATCATATCACATCGAATCAAGTTTTAAATCAAGTTAATTTATTAACCTTTTTTTTTCTCCTATTATTCATACCAATTAGATTCAAGATTGGCCAAGTATCAAATCAATCAGCCATACTAATCCAAGTTTTATCACACTGATTTTTCTTTTTCTTTTTTTAACATGCAATAAAACATTTTTTCACAGGTGGAGTGAGAGTAATGATCCATGCGAGCAAAATCAAATTATTCAATGGAGTAGCTTTATATCTAACAGCATTTTTCTTGTTTTAATGATTAAAGTATTTATGAATTTAATTTGCATACGAAAATTGAAATCAATTGCCATTCAAGTTTTAAGAATTCCATTTTATTGAAATTCCTGTCAAGTGGATAATAATAAAAATAAATAAAAGTAAAAGCAAAAAGCTTCAGTGCTCCCAAAAATAAAAAAGAAGTAAAGAAGGGGAATAGGCAATGATTTTACTCATAATGATACCACCTGCACCCTGTTTATGACTGGAAAGACAGTCGTCCATGCATTAAATTCAGTTAATTCAGATACAAACAATATATATATATATATATAACTCTAATAAAGTTTTCTACTTGGGAAATTGATTTATGGGCATGTTAAAATTGCAAATATGTGGGATACCATCCGTTTATTGGATCAGGATTGTTTTAAGAAATTATCTTAATATCCTGGAAAAATTGTACAGGGAATTAATATAAAGTTCTCATGAATTATAATATAGACAGCAAACTTTAAGATTTAATAAAACTTATAAGCTGTAGTTCTTTCTTAAGTAACACTTCAAACCATAATATTTTTATAAGTTTACTGCTCACTGCTTAAATTATTTATGAAATAATAATCGACTGGACTAATTCAGAATGTTATAATAATTATTTTTTAAATTAAATTTTATTTAAAAATATATTAAAATAATATTTCATCCATAACAAAATAAAAAAATGAAGTCTTGTTTTGTATTATATTTTAAATAGTATTGTATTTTAAATAGAAGTTGGGTAAAATTTAAAAAATTTATTTAAAATTAATTTTTTATATATTTTTAGATTTTTTTAATGTATTTATATTTTTTAAAATAAAAAATTATCATTTTAATATATTTCTAAATAAAAAATCCATTAAAAATTAACAACTAACACCATCCCAATCCACCTTTTGCTTTTAGAAACCACTTAAACATCTAAAACACATAAATGGCAGTTTAGTTTAATATAAAATACTTGCAAAGCATTTAAGGCAGCCCATCATTTTCTTAGCAGGAGTGTCGGTGAGAGAGTATAGACTACAGTTTTGTTGTGCTGTGTACTCTCTCTTTCTATCTCTATAGATAGACACATGAATGGTGAGAGCGGGTGAGAGAGGAGTGTCTTCGTATATGTTGTGTATTTGCTCCGTCTCTTTCTATCTTTCAGCCTTTTGTCTCCACCTTCTCATTTACACCACCACCTGCACCAAATAAGCTTTTAAAAACACATTAACCCCATAATTACCAGGCCTTAGAAAAAGGAACTTGTTCACTCGTGTCAACTACTACCTCTCTTTCTTCACATTAACAGCACTTAGAGAGAGATAGAGAGAATGGGCGTGGATTTGAGACAGGTGGTTGCTGGGGTGCTGACTCTAACTATGTTTGTAATGCTTGGTAACATGATCAAGAGAGACCATTTTGATTCTGTCGAGGTAAATCCCTTTTAGCCCTTCTTCATAATTCTCTATGGTACTTTGTTCCATGTGTGTATGTGATCTTTTGTTCATTCAAGTTTCAATTTTTTTCCCATTTGAAGCTGTGCTTCTTGATGGGGTTTTAGTCTGGGTTTAGATCTTAAGCCCTTTTGATGGTTCACTTCATTTCCCACCTTGCATTTTCTTTCTGAAGTTACAGGCTTTATGGGGTTTCATTTGATATCAGTGCTCTTGTAGTTTAGTGAAATAAGATCTGCATGTTCTTGGCCCAAATGCTGTGGCTTTGTGGTGCTTGTAGTTCATTTTTTCCTTCCTTGTCAAATTCTCATTAGCCTCCGGATGCTGTTTCATTCAATCTTTGTTCTTCTGTTGAATTTGTGTAGGATCTTTAAGGTATCGTAACTGTTATATTAATCCGTTTAATCTGGGACTTCTTTCTTATTTTCATTCCTTCATATTGAGATTAAATTAAGCTGATGTACTAACATTATTGCTCTTTTGGGCTACTGATGATATAGAAGAAGCAAAGGGATTGAATTTATTTTTTTCTTCTAATTGTTCAGGCTCTCGGAACTTTCTGGTATTTTTTTTTTTAATTTCCTCTCATGTTTGAGGTTTCAATTTTGTTCTTTACGACATCTCTTGGAGCAAAGTTAATAATTATAGGGTTTGATAATTTCCACTTCATACTTGAACCATTGTCTAGTTTCTTACTCTGTGACGGAACCTGTCATCCAATCATCATTTGCTGTGGATCTATATGTGATTCTCCTTTTCATTCTTTTGTCTTTTGTTTTGTAAAGGGGAAATTTCCTGGAGCCAGGGACGTCGAGTTTGATAGTGAGAAGGTTTCAGAGCAGGGTCTTGTGACATTTTCGAAAAAGAGTACAAATGGGCCATGGGTGGAGGGTGGCCTAGAGCTAAAACCATGCTGGAAAGAGTCAAATTTTGGTAGGTTCACTTGTGAACTTGATAGCTGCTGAGAATTTCACGTGGTATTTATTCCTATAAGTGCGCTCACTGATATACTACATAATCTTGTACACTGTTTCCTTCTACTTCTCCTGAATTCTCACCATTTTAACAGATGATGTAGAGTCAAAAGGGTTTGTCACTTTCTCATTGACTAATGGTCCTGAGTACCATGTCTCACAGGTATCTTAAGTAGCCATTTGAATCTTCTTTTCATTTGCAGAAGGATTCTGCCTTCATCAATGAAACATCTGCTTTCCATTCTTGTTCTACTCCTTTAAATATTTATACCTCTTTGCTGGTGATTGCATTCTCCAGATCGCTGATGCAGTTGTAGTAGCAAGATATATTGGAGCAACTCTTGTACTTCCTGACATTAGGGGGAACAAACCAGGAGATGAAAGGTTTGCAGCATGTTACTTTCATGACAATCACCTTTTTTTTTGGAACGAACAAAAAAAAATAAAGTTGCTGGCCCCTTTTCTGCCATTAGATTTGTTTGAGATGATCCGGATGGTAAATTCCTGAAGAAGTATCTAGCTTTGCTATTTTGTTTTTCTCAATTTTATTTTTATATGCTGGGGTAATGTTTCCTTCGCAAATAAGTATTTTCCTGTTACTAATTCAACCACAGCTATAGAACTTTCTTTCTCTCTTTTCTTTCCTTTCTTTCCCAGATCATTTGCTATCTCCAATGGAACAATAATGGAAATGGCAACTTCACCCATCTCTTTTAGGGGAAATGTTGTACGAATTTACTAATTAAACCTTCCTATTATTTGCATTTGGAAACTTGTATGTGTAATAGTTCCCAGTTTCATATTTATCTAATTATATTCATTTTCAAAACTTGATGCCTTATTGTAAACCTCCTAAGGCATGTACAGTCCGACTTTGCTTCACTGCCCAGCTGAATTGGCTAGTTTTTTCAAAATGTTACTGTTGAGTGTTGGTTTGCTTAAGATAAAGGACCATAGAATTGTGATCTCTGAAGAAGTTTCCAAAATATGATCAGGTAGTGAATTAATTTCATTGAGAGCTTTTGGGTGCATGCTAAAAAAATTGACATTTTACAGGAAGTTTGAAGAAATATACGATGTTGAGAAATTTGTTAAAAGCCTAGTCGGGGTGGTCAAAGTAGTTAAAGGTCTGCCTGAGGATGTATCAATTCGAGATTTTGCTGTTGTCAAGGTCCCTAATCGAGTTTCAGAGGATTACATTGCTGAGCAAATTGAACCAGTCTTTAGAACAAATAGCAACATAAGACTGGCTACATTCTTCCCTTCAGTAAATATGAGAAAGACCACAAAAACAAGTGCCAGTGGTCCAGTTGCATGTTTGGCAATGTTTGGAACTTTAGAGTTGCAGCCAGAGGTTAATGAAGTGGTTGACTCCATGATTGAGCGACTAAGAACATTGAGTCGCAAATCTGATGGACGATTTATTGCTGTTGACTTGAGAGTTGAGATATTGGACAAGAAAGGTTGCCATGGAAGCAGTGCAACTGGAACAAAGAGTTGCTTTAGTGCACAGGAGATTGCCATATTTTTGAGGAAGATTGGATTTGGCAAGGATACCACAATCTACCTCACTCAGCCAAGATGGGATGAAAGCCTTGATGTTCTGAAAGATATATTCCCAAAAACTTATACAAAGGTTAGGCATTTTTCATTGGTTTCCCCTTTCTAATGTTTTCTCCTTCCAGTTAGTCTAAAGACTCTAAACCATTCTTTCCCTTTGAAAACTTTTGCAGGAAAGCATATTGCCTGCAGATAAGAAGGCAAAGTTCCTTGAATCTGAAGATTCAGAGTTTGAGAAGGTTATTGACTTCTACATGTGTTCGCAAAGTGATGTCTTTGTACCAGCCATCTCTGGCCTATTCTATGCCAACGTAGCTGGTAAGAGAATAGCATCCGGTAAGACTCAAATACTTGTTCCAGCTGACATTCCTGGCACCTCTTCCTCTGTTACCAACCATTTCTCCCCCTATATCTCCAAGAAGAACCACCTGGCACATTCCTGTTTTTGCTAGTAATCAATGCCAAAAACCCTGAAGAGAGCACAATGCAGCTTCTGTTGTAGTCTTCAATAATAGTTCTTACTTACTCCATTGCTTCAGTCAAGCCTTTCTTGTAAGCAGATGAACATTTGAGTTACATCATCCACACTTCTATTTAGGAGTGAAAGCACCCCAAAACAGAAGTTTACTGTTTTCATATGATTTTTTAAAGATGGTTCTATATAAATAGGACAGGTAGGTTTGTGAGTTATGTTCAAGAATTTGTTTGATGTTTTGTAAAACTTTGAATTATAAGTTGTTTGTTGTAAAATCAGTTTGCATTTTATGAGGTGGTTTTGTAATTGTTTGAATGATGTTCTAGGCTTGGACTGTAAGCTTAGGGTTGTGTAACATAAGTTGGAAGATGAAAGACAGACAGACCAGGTTTCCTCCATTGATTTTGTTCAATATGCAAAGCTGGAAAGATCCCATTGAAGGCTTCAGAATTGGAGAGCATCGACATTTATGGATTTCTTTTTTCTTTTTTCTTTGGTTGATGAACATTTTTGGATTTTCTAATCTGGGCTTCGCAGGGACAAGAAGGCAGCAGCCAACAATCTACATTTGTAGGGGCTAATCGCTAATTGGTCTGTGGTTTACCAAAATAATGATTGACCTAATCAAGGGTCAGTACCAAAATTATTACTAAGAATTAATGTAAGAAATTTTGTTTAGCTAGCAGCAAAATCGAACAGCTGAACCAGTAAAGGAAGCTATCAAATGAAGATAATGAAAAACTGATTTAAGGAATTCTGCTCATAATTAACAAAGTTTCCTTATTTTTTCACGGTATTTTGGAAAAGGTAGTAGCCGTTGAACTCTTTCCTAGCTTGGAACTCTAAGCCAAAAACAAAACCCCCTATATACAGGCATTACAAACAAAATCTTTGCAAGAATCATTCAAAAAGATTCAGACCCTTTTTTCTGAAACAAAATATTCTAACAGATCTTACAGAATCCAACAATGTCCAATTCAACAAGATGTGCAGCTTGCAGATTTTTGAGAAGAAGATGTCGTCAAGATTGTGTCTTGGCTCCATATTTTCCTCCAACCTATCCCCAAAGATTTGCTAGTGTCCATAAAGTCTTCGGTGCCAGCAAGATTACTGAATTGCTAAAGGTATATTTATATACAAATCTCCACTCATCAACTCATTCATGAGCAATCCAACCATGCCAACACTCAAATAATTTCATCAACTAAGAGTATATCGTAGTAAAATTTCTTTCCCCTCACAACTAAGCATCCATTCACCATTTCTTTTAGTTAAAGACGCTATTCATTCAAAAACTTCCAACCATGCTTAACTAGTGCATCTGACGTGACATCACTATCAAATAATCTATTATCATCTAAGAAGCTTATTGGTGATGAGTATTTTGGGATTCATAGCGCTATCCGTATTTTTAATCTTTAGTGACGATTGATAGATAATATTGATTGCGATATGGTGTGCTCACTCTTTTATAATCTTGGATTCGCGTGGAATGCAGCAACTTCCAGTGCATTTACGTTATGATGCAGCAGAATGCATGTCAATTGAGGCAGCATCACGTGCAAGAGACCCAGTTTATGGATGTGTTGGAGTCATATCTCAGCTGCAACAACAAATAATTGATGTTCAATCTGAGTTGGTGAAGATAAAGGGTGAATTAGCAGTTCACAATGCTCAGCAACAACTACAACTAGAAAATGGAGAGAAAGCTAGTGAGCAGCGACAAGATGAACTTTTATGGCTCGGTTCGACTCAGCATGACCCTTTGAATTTGGATCAACTGCTAATCCAAGCAAATGATTACCAAAAATCCCACTTTTAGTGACTTTCATCTAGGAGTAATCAAGTTGGTCTCCATGATTTATATGTTCATTGCTGGTTTCTAATGCATTTTCAGTTTTCTTGCGTAATTACCAATGATTATGTCCCGGGGGGGGGGGGGGGGGGGGGGGGCGCGCGCCAAGAGAGAAATGATATGACTGCCGAGTACGGACTCATTTGTACCAGTCCTGCTCTTAACTCGTTATTTCTCCGGTTCCATCTACTCCATTGGACGTTGTTTTCAGTTGTTCTAGCAAGTACATGATTTTACCAAAATCCCTTTCTTTTCGGCCATTGATTTATACAATCCGCTAGCAGACCTCACTCATTCAAAGTCTGCGATTTTTCACGCAGTGATCTCAGAAAAATTCTCATGCAAAACAAGCAGGTTCCATCTTTGTTGGTGTGTTCACGCCTAGCCAAGTAAAAGGATATTTACTCCCGGGTTTCAAATTAAACTAGAAAAAAATACTAGCGATCAAAGCTAGCTAGGTCAACATCAAGGATGAAACAATACTGTTTTAATAAAAACAAACTATAAACTGACCTAACAACTCAAACCCCTGTTTTAATAAAAACAAACTATAAACTGACCTAACAACTCAAACCCTTGCCCATTTACGAGTCAATCCCCATTACATGTCTCACAGTTATGCTCCTGCAATCAGTCCAGCGTGCGTAATCTGACCGTGTTATCGTCCCATAATTACTAGTTTACAGAAATATTGAAACAGATGGCAATGGGAAAAAAACAAGCATAAACATTCAATATAGAAATCCATCCTAAATATACAAGAGTGAACTCGTGATATCATCATTCTTCGTAGGACTCACCATCAATGAGAAAGTGCTGAGGTCTGTCGATCATGGTGTTCCATCTAGGCTTCACTTTGCCCGATATTCCTTTCCAGGACTTGGAAAGGACAGAGAAAAAACACACACTTTAACCATTCAATTCAATTGCAAGAAAGAGCAACAAAACCTAATCAATGTATGTTCCAAAATTCCAATTTATTAATACCATTACCTCTCTTGACACATACAAATATATTTCCATTCTTTTTTCAGAATGAATTACATCAAGTATCCGATAAAATATCACTAGTTACGCTTTAATCACAATAAAATGACACTTTAAGCGATATGAAAGTACATGTCTATCTAGTACAAGTATTTTCAAAATGAAAAGGGCAAATCTACTTGTTTGTATCTTAATTTACAATTGAAGTAATCGGAGAGGATATAGCACGACTTAACTGTTTATAGTTGTTTAACACTATTGAAGAATCTTCTTACCATGTTAATGGTTAGGTTATATATATATATATGTATGTATGCATCAGTGCCCCATGTCAGGTTTATCAATTTAATGCATGCCTTCATTAAGACATCTATGCATTCCGAGCAGTTCTTAATCGTCGAAATGGCTTTCTAAAGTGCTTGGATAGTGGAGTCTTTGGTACTGGAAGGAGTTTTCCAGCTGCAGCAAGAGGCCAGCTGTAAAAAAGCAGGCAGCAGTGGTCGGGATGAGAAGTGGTGATTTCACACAGAAATACAGCATATGCGTTCAAAAAAACACTACTTGGAAAGCCCTCAAAACATTCTTATGACTTGCCAAGAATAACAGTAGTGATAAAAAGAAGAAAACCCAAGCAACCAAGTTCAAGCCATCTAATTAAATGAAAAAGGTGCCAGAACGCATTAAACCAAGACTCGTAAGCAAAACAAGGTGAATTCAAGGTACACCCATGCATGACTTAAGTTGACAGGATGCAAAATATATCTTATCCTACAAAAACTGGTGACTGAACTAACCTGACAATGCCGATGGCAACGCATATAAGCCATTGTTTCCAATTAAGTCTCACAGTTGTGGTAAAGTCTCCAGTGAATTCAATGAGGATTATCTGTAAAGCAATTCGCAATAGCAATGTCACCACCCAGTACACTGATAATGAAAGCCAAAAGAAAAGGTGGCGGCGGCTGCTCACCTGAAGGATGACGGTGAATCCAACTATTCCCATAAACAAACGGTTTTTTGTTACTCCTTTAAAGACATTTATTTGATCTGGCTTTCGAGCATTGAACTCATTGAAAACCTTTCAACAATTAGCGAATGTAAGCCTTGCATCTTGAAAAGGCAAAAATAACTTCTTCGCAAGCAGTATAATTGGGAATGATAATGGTATCATTTTCATTTTCCACTCAACAGACTTTATGAGACTCAAGAATACAGCAAATGGTACTATTAGTCAAGTGGAAAACTTACTTGACAGAGAACAAATGCATTGAATATCATTGTATTCTTCACAATTGTAGCATGTTTCTTGTCGTCGTGATTCAAATTAAGAATACTCAAGCCCCGGAAGTTGAGCACAAGGAGAACAGCAACTTGATATAGAGCCTGAAATTGATGAAAAAGAATAATAGGTCATGAATAAGCCTTGAAGCTACATTAGTACTCAGCCCGTAGTACTCTCAATAATTTCATCAGGCAAACTGAGCATTTCAGAGAAGAAATACCTGTATGAGCAAGTTCCTCCACATGATGTTTGTTATGAGAGGTTCCCTAAAAGAGCAAGCAGAAGATCATATATTTAGATCACCATCCATCAATTCGGAAAGATTAGCAAATACATCGATCACTATTATGCAACTTCTACAATCACAATATGCAAGAGAATCCCCGGACCATACTTCAAGCAAAGGTCAGACACAAGTAAAATGACAAAGAAACAAAGGATTACGCCTGAAAACTGTGTTTCAGTAACATCCTGTGTATTCTTACTTTCCATGAGTAGGTGCAAAGGTTATTTTAAATTTCAATGTAGTTAAATTCAGCAAGTACTCTACTCTATCGGGACATGATGCTTGCAGAGTAGAGCAGAAATCATTTAATATCATGAATCCACAACTTAGGAAAACCTGATATATCCTGAGCTCTTCACAACCATTTAAATTCAACAAGTTGGCAACACAATTCTATACAATACAGAGTATATAATACATTGCTGAACAAGTTCTCAACTTGACAAAGCATTGCATAGCTATCTACAAAGACAGAAATATGGCAGCAAAATATCTATGAAGTAAATGGGCCATTTTAATCAGAATAGAATAGTATAACACGTGCGCACCAAAAGAAAAGGAAAACTAAAATTGATCTACATTGGATGGACTACAAAAGCAAAAACCTCACAACTTTGTCACAACCAAAAGCAAGATTCTACATTTTTTCTTGGAATCAGAATTCAGAAGGCATAGAGAAGACCTAAAATTTTGTTGGATGTCAGACTGTAACATTTGGAAGTTCCTCATTTGTTAAGAAAACTGTAAACTCCCACGATTTGCCATCATTGATCATCAAAATAAAAGCAACCTCAATTCCCCTTCTTCAAAACAGGAAATGATCAAACAAAAATCTACCCTCAAAACTTACCACCAAAGCAAGGCCAAGGGTCAACATTAAGTTACATTAACCATCAAAATGCCACAGTACAAAGAACAGGCAATTTAAGAGTCACATTAACTGCAACTTGCATTTATAGATTAATGCCTAACATAACGTAATTGGCTAAGCCATAGTACAAACCTCCGACCAACTGGTGTCCTATGCATAAGGTGATCTGTTGGTGGTTCTGTAGCCAATGCAAGTGCCCCGAGAGTGTCCATGATAAGATTGACCCATAGAAGCTGAGCAACAAAAGTGAACAAGAATTAAAATGTTTGTTCATCATGAGAAGGAATTTAGTTCTGCATGAAGGGAAGTTTCCAAATTCAGGTATAATATCAATCCATTGAAATATTATTTTTCAGGCTATATATACCAAAACAAGTTCTAAAATAATGGTCAGTTCCTTCTTTCTAGATAGGACCCAAATAAAACAAAATCGAATAAAACCATGTTCAATATAAATTCAATTTCTTTTCTCTCAAATGCACTTCAATATGCTAGAAATCAACTGTTCTACCAATAAGCACGCACAAAACCAAAGGTTTGGTCTGTCCTCTACATTGATAACAAGATGCTACAATTAAACCAGTATATTGGCAAATTTGGACAATTAATGAAAAAATTATAAAATTTTGCAATGGTCAGACCTGCAGTAATGAATTTGTATTGTGCTCCTTATATTGAACACATGGACTGCTCAGTATGGTAAGATTAAATTGATCAAGTGAAAGAAATACATGAGTGAGAGAGAGAGAGAGACCTGCACTGTATTTAGAGGAACATCACCAGAAGAGATCGCGGCAACAACATTGATTACTAAAGCTCCAACATTAACAGTAAGCTGGAATTGGATAAATTTCTGAATGTTGGCATACACAGAACGCCCCCAACGAACAACCTACACATGAAAGAAGGAGAAGGTAATTTCTACACACAAAACACGACAAGAGGGAAAAATTGGTGAGAGAAGGTCTGAAAGAGAGATAAGAGAAACAATGGGTTGCCGGAGTCATAACTTCTCCGGTCACCATTAGATTTTGCTCAAATTCAGATATGTTGTGCGCCTTACCCTACTCTACAGCCTCACTATCCAGATTTGGTTTATCTGGTGTTGTTTGAGAGATACAGCCGTTGCGAGATTTCAAGGAAAACTAGGTTTGGGGCAGACATAGCCACCAGCATCAAATTTCAGCATTCCCGGAAAGAATTTTACTCCTTGGACTAGCTTCTGTCAGTTTTCAGATCAGATTATCTCTTTGAAGATCACGTTTGATATAGCCGTTGGATTACTCTAGTTCTGGATTACTCTGGTTCTTTTACATGATATGCTACACTTGCTTAACTTGAACTAGACTGTTGGATTTTAGCTAGTTTTATCATTATAATGTATTGCTACTTTGAAATTGTTGCCAATTTGAAATTGTTGCCAAAACATGGATACCAATCACCCAAAAACAAGTCAACCGGTTCAAGAATTCTAGAAAATAGTCGACCGGTTAACCAAACAACCTATTGCCAACCACACAACAGCCACCAAGAAACCCTTGATACCACCACTAACACTTTAAATACCTCAACCACCACAAAAAAGCCCTCCCCCAACCTACTCAAAAAACAAAGACTATCCCTTAACAACCTTGAAAAAACCCAATTGATCCCCACACAACATGCCACCTCAGTTCATAAGAACACCACTACCACCAACTTTGCCCTAGCTCTTTATAACTTGTGATAGAGCAAAGGTCACAAAAACTGCAACCACTTCCAAGATAACCGTTTTTCCAAGATGAGATTGACACCATTTCGAACATTCCAGATAATGTCATTGATGACTGCATCGAAATGGAACCGATGCTTGGCGGGTTTCTTCGCGGGTTATCAAATGCCCTACCATGAAGCCAACTCTATTACATTCCAAGCATGGAAGAATTGAGGCCTTAAAAGTATCATGACAACACAAGGCTTGTTGATTTTTCAATTTAGGAGTAAGGATGATGCCAAATCAATTATGGAGAAGGGAGCACAGATGTTTGGGGGGAAAATTCAAAATCCTGCAATCGTGGCACCCACATTGTGTTCTTGAAAAGAACAAAATTTCAAAGATGCATGTATAGAACCGCCTTCAAGGTTTACCTTTAGCTTTGAAATGAAACAAGCCTAGGCATGACCGCAAGTTTGGTAGGGAGACCACTGGCTTGTGAGAAATAAACACTTAATGGCACCCGGCTTGACTATGTTGGAGCCTATGTTGAATTGGATGCTTTGCTACCCACGGTCAATGTCTTTCAACTTTAATGTAGGTTATCTATGAGGCCTCCTATCACAGTTACAGTTGATTGTGATTAGAAGCCAAAAACTTGTGAGGTATGCAAAGTTTTTGGCCACTCATGCAAGGTGTCGATTGAGAGCCCAAACTTATTAGTGAAAAACATGCTCAAGATTAAAATTGAAGGGATGCTTTACGTGTATGTAACCCACTACCTATTGTTGTTGAAAAGGTTGCATCCCTTTCGATTGTTGTTGCTACAACAAATTCACTAACCCAAATAGACAGTTCAGCTGGAATCAATTGACCGTTCAGCCATGTCAAGAACTGGATGACCGATTGAACATAACAGAGGTCCTGGGAGCTTTTGTCCTTGGAAACGATTGACCAGTTTGAACTCTAAAGAAATCGATCAACCAATTACAGATGCAGGCCACTGCAGAAGCAACTAAACCTTCTGATGCTGAAAGGGTTAGGTTAAAAGATGATGGGAGTCGGAAACTAACTTAGAACATAACTTATTGCATCTTTAGAACGATCAACATCTATTCACTTCACCAAACAAGGGGTCTTTGAATTCTACCTCGGCACCTCCCTAACCAAGTGAAAAAAGTAAGCCTAATCCTAGTAATAAAGAAACTAGACAAAGTGGAAAAGAGGCAAAAACACAAAAAAAAAAAAAAGGCTTAAAGGCCTCTGATTTTTTCCTTTTATACTGATATCCTGTTTCTAATACACATGAATGATATAGGAAGTTGGAATATTAGGGGCCTTAATGGCTCCCCAAGACATAAAGCAATTAAGGTTAGGATTAATAAACATAATCTTAGCTTGGTAGGAATTCTTAAGTCTAAGATTGCATTTAACCATATAAAGGAGGTGGGGACAGCTATAAATCATCACGAAAGTTTTTTTTCTAATGTCTTAATTAATTCTAATTGTTGTATCCTAGTTGGATAGGATCCGATGGAATATGGTGTTATTTACTTGCATTCTTCCCAACAATGGATAACATGTGAGGTATCTAGTTTGGATGATGAGTGTTCATTTTCACTTTTCTTTATGGTCTCAATACACCTTCTTGTATCTAGTTGCGGATACATGGCAAATTCCTATAGATGATAACCTTATGCACAAGTTTATCAAGAGACTTGGGTTGCTAAAGCCCAAGTTAAAGTCTTTGCACCACCAACTAGTCACACCACTAGTAGTGTGGTTGAGGCAAAAACTAAATAAGCCGCAGCACAAACTATTCTTGATGATTCTCCTTGGAATGATACACAAACTAAAAAGGTCACGGTCTTCCTATCTTCTAGGGGTCTTCGACAGGGTGATCCTTTATCTTCTTACTTGTTTGTCTTGGTTATGAAGAGTTGAGGTGGCATTATTAGAGAGATTTCACATAAACCAAGTTTTCAATATCACTAACGATTTCAATAGACTAAAAATTACTCATATGTGCTTTGCAGGTGACAATGATTTTTTATTGAGCAGATACGAACTCAATTGGGATTGTGAGGACGACTCTAGATGATTTTGAAAGGTTGTTTAGTCTTGTTACAAATCTAAAAGTCATGTCTTCTTATCAGGAGTTGACGATTAACTTGGGACCTCTCTATATAATATTTTGGGTTTCAGGTGGGGTTCTTTGCTGATCAGGCACCGAGATGTCCCATTAATATCTACCAGATTGACACATGATTGTGCATCAAAAGTGTCATTAAGTCTCTTGTTTTACATATGTATTTATTGTTTTTATTTGGTTGTTTTTATAATAATTGATGTGTTTTTTAGTAATGAAGTTTGTTTTAATGTTTCGATAGGTTTTTGGAGCTTAAATGAATTAATTCAGAAAATTCAACGTCGGAATTCAGAACAAAGAATTGAAGAGACATTTAGTTGAAGATTGAAGCAAATCTTGGTTCAAATAAGTGCTCCAAATTTGTCCCAAAAATCAATTCTATTCCAATTCTAGAAAAGAATATCATATGATTTATTTCAAGCCCAAACTTGCCTTATGTTGTGTGCAAACTTCAACCATTAAACACTCAAGGTTTCAATGTCAATCTTAGCCCAAATAATAAGTACATTTGTATACTTATTTGATGCTCAAATTCAGCCCAAAAATCAGCCCCAAATCAGCCCTAAATCAACCCCAAATCAACCTTCAAATCAACCCAAACACAATCCATGATCTTACATGTCCACACAACAAATAACAATTGATTTATTTTGGGTAATCCATTGATCCAAGAAGGCAAGCACATGGATGGAAAGCTGGAGGGGATATTTTAACATTATTTTGGGTCAAAAAGAAGAAGGAGACACCTCATAAATGAGGAAGAAAAACGTGCACCAAAGTAGTTGTAAAGCTGTCTTGATTTGATTTTTCAGAACACCTTTCGGTGTTTTGCCCATAACTTTTGACTCAGGTGTCCAAATGAGCTGTTCTTTAATGATCTGGAAAGGTGACAGAATTTCCTATAAATATGTCTCTAATAGACTTCTCCAAAAAAAGCTTCTAAGAGGGTCGAATTGCTGTCCAAAGTTAGAGTCAGATTTGTGTCCGAATTTTTTCTGAAATTGTATTGTGTTCTTCTTTATAGATTTCGGTTCTTTAGTTTGTAAAACTTATTTTTTCAGTTGGATTCAAGTTCTTTCATGTTTATTGAAGTGTTCTTATATATAATCATGGTTGGCTAAACTCTTTCTTGGATCCAAATCAAGGATAATGGTGATTGAGGTGAGTTCTTTAGGATATGAATGAATCTTAATGTTTATCTTCTTATTTTCTTCATGAATGATTTATTATTGTAAAGAAATTTTAGAAATCATTTAGGTAATGTTATAATCTTGAATTTTTATGCACAAACTTTAGTTTTGGTATAGAGATTGCTTGATTCAATGTCTTACTTAATATGAAAGTACTAGTTCATTCTTAAGCAATAATCAATCTTCATCTTTCTAATCTTCATTGTAATATCTTCTGATCTAATATCACCATCGTTGATATTAGGTTGAGTTATCTTATATATGTTGAAGAAATCACGATCTAATATCACCATTGTTGAGATTAGGTTGAGTTATCTTATATATGTTGAAGAAATCACCAATACATCACCATTAAAATTGATTTGGACCAAGACTTACTTTTCTTGTCATTTAAAATCTATTTACATTTTTTTTTTATCTTTGAAAACAAATCCATCAATTATTTTGAACCAAGTTATTGTTAATTTAATTTCTCTTGAGTTTTTTTTTTTTGTTACTTAGCTTAATTTCCAGATCTAGCTCTCTGTGGATATGACCTCGATCTTACCGAGTTAATTGCTACATCGCACACTCGTGCACTTGCGAGTTAAAACAAGCCGATCATAAAAAGCGGTCAAGCAATTTTGGCGCCGCTGCCGGGGAGCTAGCAAGCAAAGGTAACAAATTTAGATTTGATTATTGGAAAACTAAAAAAAAATCATATAAAAAAAATTTAATTGGCTGGTTTTACCGCCTCAAAAAAAAAAATTTAAAAAACAAATCAAGTGGCTGGTTTTACCGCCTAAAAAAAATTTGACCTTAACGTTTTGGATATTGGACTATTAATTGTTGGATTTTGGTTGGTTCAACCATTTTTCTTTTATTTTCTATTCTTATTAGTTGCTAATATTTTTCTTGTTTATTTCATTTTATTTGGTTGATATTGTTTTTATTTATTGTCTAAAGTGCTTGGCCGATATTACCGCCTTTTTTATTCATGCTTGTTATAATTATCTTTTAATGTTTATTGTTGTTATTTTTCTTATATTTATTGTCTAAAGTGCTTGGTCGGTATTACCGCCTCTTGTTTATTTCAGTTTATTTTGTTATTTTTTTATGATTATTTTTCTTATATTTATTGTTTGAAGTGCTTGGCCGGTATTACCGCCTTTTTATTCAAGCTTCTTATAATTATCTTTTAATGTTTATTGTTGTTAATAGTGCTTATTAGTTGGAGAGTGAATTTCTTAATTTGTTGTATTTTATTTTTGAGCTATTACTTTTATTTGCATTTTTTTTCTTTCCTTTCCTTTCATATTCATATAATTGTTATATTATTATTATTATTATTATTATTTTATCATGGCTAATGTTGAAGATGTAGA